TTGATGTGCGTTGTCCCGCTCGACGTTCCCGGATTCGCCTCCACCCTCCCGCCTCTGATATGGCCTTTTTCTTTCGGTCATTCTCGGGCTTTATCTTCGGACATTTTTCCAGCGTTCCCGCAACCGGCTCAAGGTCCTCTTGGGCGATAGCACCGCACCCCTTGCCCGTAACACCTCGGAGGCGCACGCTTTTTTGGCTCGATGGGACCTGGGAAACCGTCGTAGCCTCGAGCAACTGATTCAATTCACAGGGGTGGACACGGTCAATCGGGAGGTGAGTCGAGGGAGGGGGGGAGGGAGGGAGGGGAAGCGCCTCAGGCTCGTCAGGGCGAGGGTAGGCATTAAAAGGAGAAAAAGGGGCTCACGGTCGCGTGTGCTGCCACCGTCCCCCTCCCCCCCTCCAGATCCTTCACTCCTCCTGCGGCTACCTGGCCTGGGTCCCGTTCGAGCGGGAGGGCGAGGGGGAGGATGACGATAGAGACCCCCGGGAGCCGGACGCCGACCGCCACCAAACAGAGGCAGGGTTGAGGTCGGTTGGGGCGTTGCAGGATGGCCGGCGTGCGAAGGTAGGGAGGAGGAGACTTGGGCACCGCCCTCCCTCTCCCTCGGCCCTTCCCCTCCCCTCCCTGTCGGTCCCACGGCGAACCTCCCCTTCACTGCCTGCCCTTTCCCGCCTTTTCCACCACTTACTGGCCCTAAGGCCCCCGAATCTCTCCCTCCCTCCCCCTCTCTCACCATCTCCCTTCCTCTTTTCCTCCCTCCTCGTTATCATCATCTCTACTCTCGACTCCCCCTCCTCCTCTCTCATCACCTCTCTTTCTCCTTCCTCCACGTCCCTCACCAACTCCGTTGCACCTCCATCCTCCGTCCTCATCATCTTCCTTCCCCCTCTCCTCATCCTTCCTCGTCATCCCCCATCCTGCCTCCTCTCAGATCCCCTGGACCTTCGCAGGCCTCCTTCTCGGCCTCCTTTTCCTGGTCGGGGTCCTACTCACGCGCCAACGCCGAGCCTTCCTCCCCCTCTCCTCCTCCTCCTCCTCCTCCACCTCCTTCTCCAGTCGGCGGGCCCTGGCATGCCTCGCGCCTCCCTCCCACCCCAACGACCGCCACCGGAGGGGAGTCCTGGCCTCTCCCCTCGCCGACTCCCCCCTGCGCCCCTCGGTCTCGGCCCATGCCCCGTCTCCTTCTAGAAGCTTCGCCCCGCCCGACGTCTGAAAGCGTAGCTTTATCCTCGAAGATACATGGCGCGGAGGGGGGTACAGATAGGGAGGGGGAGGGAAGAAGGGAGGAACAAGGCAGGAAGGAGGCCGTTAGCCGTTGGACCATGCCCTCCCTCCTCATCAATCGGCACCCGTGTCCTCCCTCCAAGTGACGCGGCCGCAGGCCAACAACCTCACAAATACTCCATATTCATTAAAGAAATCTGTTTCACAATACGTTACGGCCTCCTTCCCTCGTCAGTATTTTATTTACACATTACATTGCTCTCGCCCGCACGCACTCGCCGCCCTCCCCTTCATCCCTCCCCTTCCTCGACCCCCCGAGCCTCCCCCCGCCTGCTTTTCGAATAAAACCCACGGCCTATCCCCATCACGTCCCCGTCTACGCGCGGCTTGTCACCACCCCT